CATGAAGAGATTACACACTCAGCAGAGACAAACACAAATGGACCCATGGAGCACTTCACTGGTCCAATTAAGATGGGAAATATTCTCTCTCACCAGGCTTCTTGGAAAAACTGTTAAAAAGACACTGACTTAAAAAACAAAAACAACTATGTGTCTGCAATCTGATTTAAATGCTCTCAAATCTTACATAATCTATAAGATACAAGAAGCAGAGAAGAGGGTTTTGAGGAGGGTGAAAAAAAACATACATGCCCTAGGCTTTCCAATAACAGACTGGAGCAGCACATGCTAAAAGAACAATGCATAGGTAAAGTCATTTAAGTTTAAAATTTGTTTGATTTAAAATTTTAAATAAAGGATCATGAGAAAAATGTGCCATGGCATAATGTGAATATCAAGCTTTATTTTTTTTATAAACCCTTGAACTATATCACATCAAAAATACAAGAGGATGTACATCTTATCATTGGTAATAATTTGTGACACTAATCTGAACCCATTAGGCCATTTCTTATTTAACTTCATGGTTCCAATCCTTTTTTACTATCATAATTAAGATTATAGAAAACTGCAAGGACTACCTCTGTAACMGTTATTGGACTTTTTTTTTCTTTTTAATCATTTCTTATTTAAAAAAAATAAGACAGATCTGAGGATTTCTTGAACTAAACTGGCACCCATCCTCCATGCCTACCCTCAGGAATCTGAAGGCCACATGATAATCTACAGGTTTAGTTGCAAACATTCATAGACAAAAAAATCAGAAACACATAGGACCACTGATGGATATACTCAATACTTACTAAAATATCTCATTTCAGAAAGAATAATCCCTGCTTGAGAAGCAGAATACCAGTAATGAAATTATTCTTAAACCCACCAATGCCATGATTCATACCAACAGCTACAGCACCTGGCACATAGTAGTAAGCACTTAAAAATCTGTTAATGAATGAATCATTGACCAACGTTAGGTAGGTTACTCAACTACTCTATTTAATACTTTAACTTTCTGTATATAAAAGTAGGCCTTCCCTGCCCTAATTTTCTCAAATTCAGTCTTTGGGTTGGTCAAGGCACTCTGAAACTCAGACATCAAGACAATCAGAAATAAGATGCTTCCATTTCCTGCAAACGTCATATAAAGAAGTTACACCCACGTTGAGGCTCATTTCATGCTCATCCTAAATATYACTTCCCCAGGAAGGTGCCTCCCAACCACTCCAAGAGATATCACACCCGTAAGTTATTAACTGTCCCTGAATGCCTTATTTTCTCCTTGTAGAACATACAACAACGGTACTTATATAACATCTGTATTGCTCTTTGTTAAATGTTTGGCTCCTATTCTAGGCTTTGGACATCCTGAAGGTGAAGGTTATATGGGTCTTGCTAATGACTTACTTCCTGTACCTAGTAGTGCTTGGCACATAAGTGTCAGGTAAATATTTATTCAATAAACATTTGGGAACAAAAAGCCAGCCAATAATGTTCCTTCAATGTACTCAAACAGTTGAAGCTTGGAAAGCTAGGCAATGAACATCACACTGTCAGAAAATCACCACTCTCAACACAAAGCTAAGAAAAATTTTTCCCTAAGTAAGTGACAGAAGTAATAGTGTCTAGGAGCAGTGGGAAACACCTGTAATCCCAGCTACTGGGGGGCGGGGGACTGAAGCAGGAGGATTGCTAGTTCAAAGCCAACTTCAGCAATTTAGCAAGACTTTGTCTCAAAAGAAAAAAGAAAAAAGGTTGGGGATGTAGCTCAGTGGTAAAATGCCCCTGGGTTCATTTACCAGTACTATAAAACAACAAGTAGGAAGAAGAGGAAGAAGAGATGTATTATAATTTCTGTGTTCCATTTCTAGCTTTCAAAACATTTTCATTACCTGTGTGGTCTTACAACTGAAAAGTCTCCAAACAGTTCATATAGAACTTTCTCAGATTTGGTTTTTAGAGGTCTGACAGCTATATAACCAATATATCCAGTTTTTATAAATGTCTTTAGAGGCTATTTGGGGATTTTTGTTTTAGTGCTCATTGTATAATATTCCCTTTACAAACAGGTCAGCTGGAACCCAGTCTGAATATTTTTCCATTTTTAAAATTTCAAAGCACTGAAATAAATACCAATTTCAAATTAAACTCACAGGCAGTATAGTATATGGTAGCTCTATTTTCTCAAAAAACAAAGGAAGGCAACCTGAGATCCTCTGCTAACTGCCAAAAGGACTTCTCAGGGACTTGGTGGTAAGTTTCCAAAGTCAGCTTCCAAAACCTGTTAGGAGATGCACAATCTTCAAAACTTGGTTGTGACAGTAGGAGAAAAATGCTTGCATAAGCAATAAAACAAACACTGATAATTTAAAAAGAAGTTGGATCAGGGCTGGGGTTGTGGCTCAGCTGTAGAGGGCTTGCCTACCAAGGGCAAGGTCCTGGGTTCGATCCTCGGCACCACATAAAGATAAATAAAGTATTATGTCCAACTATAACTAAAACAAATAAATAAATATAAAAAAAAAAAGATTAGGCTAGAAGTTGGATCAGAATTTGGTCAAATGCTACTATAATGGAAGTACTATAGTTCCCAAGTCTGAAAGAGCAGAAGGTTAATGGGACTCATGTGGACTCCCATTATCTGCTTTCTTTCTTCATTGCTGGACTTAAAACCATTCTTCATTCTAGAGACCACAAACACCTTATACTGTGACTTTAAGAGCTTAGATTCCTAAAGTCCATATAACATATCAAAGCCAARAAAAGCACCTTGAAATAAAGTGAGCAAAACAAAGCATCTGTTTTTAGAAAGAGTTTGTTCTACCTTTCCAAGGAATTCTGTTTGGAAATCTGTGTTTGCAATAACATAATATTTAATAGCTCCATCAAATTTTATCAATGCCAAAGTAGTTTGATAGACATTATCTAATCTGATTCACATAATAATCTTGTGAAATAGGGAGGCCAAGGATTTTATAGATGAAGAACATAAGGTTCCAAGAAATTAAGTTTCYTGAACAAGGCTCCTAACTTAGAAAGTTAGAAGAACTAAGGCTTGAAGTGTTTCTGATTCCTACACCACTGCTCTTTCTAAAGAAAGATACCACCCTGGGTCCATCTCAAGCTGCTAYTCATTCTTGAAACCCCATGAAAAGAAGATAGGAATAGCCCTGACTTAGAATATGGAGAATCATATCAAACAAATCCATCAAAATAGTGGTTACATTCCTACTGAGTCCTTAATGGTTTCAGGTCTTAGAGACCTTATAAAATGATGCTTTACTACTCTGGGTCTTGTATTGAGCTCTTATAGATAGGATTTGGTAACAGGAAAGGAAATGAAACATGTTTTCTCCTCTTATGAAAGACAAGGGACCTTCTGAGAAGCATTAGAATCTTTAAATCCATTCCTCCACAGGCTAGAAYGAAATAAGGGCTAAAAAGGAGGATAAAACTCAAAAGTACAGTCTTCCCTGTTGAGGAAGGTAAGAGTAATAGGATGAAACCTCAAAAATGAAAGAAATGCTGAATGTGGGTGAGGGTGGGGGATTTTTTGAGTCTAACTTTTCTTTTATGAGTGACTCAGTTACTTGATAGGGGAAGAGTTCAATTCTTCTTGCAAAACTACCTTCACTATCAGTGAATCTTAAAGGTTAGTAGAGAAAAAACTGACATTAAGTTCCTTGACTCCCAAGTCTCATTTTTTTWAAATCAAACCAAGATTGAGCCATATAATAGACTTAACTCTATTCTTTGGCAGCAAACACAGTTTATTCTACAAACTTGCCATATTCTTTTAAGTTGGTGGTTTTCACCCTTGGAAACAAAATGAAGTTTCTAAAATATACTAGTGCCCCAATCCGGCTCCAGACCTGTGCAATCAGGTATCTTAGAGTGAGAACTGGCTGATTCTAGGACTTAGCTAAAATTAAAAAACCTCTAGTCTTAGTGCTTTSTTATTCATCATCAAAGATGATGTCGACACAATGTCATTTTATATTTTTCTATGGGAGAAATATTCAGAGAACTAGGACTAAAAGTCACAGTGCCCTGAAACATTAGAATTCTACAAGCTGAATGAGTTTATTGCTTTGATATAAACAGATATTATAAAAGTTACTTAAATATCACACTGAATAAATACTAGCCATTCAGGAAAAAAATGTCATATAACTATATAACACTTATATCCACCAGCATATGTAGTAAACAAAGTTGAAACATTTATCTTGCACTGAACAGTAGCTGATTTTGTTAAATATTTGGTTTTTTTCCATAGTTATAAGTAAGAAAAGGCAAATAAAGAAACCAGAAGTACAAGACACCGTATTACACAGGTATATGAAATCAGTTCAACAGGGAGTTTCCATGGTTCAGAGGACAAAGGGCTTCTCAGAAACATTACTGCAATCATATTGCTCATTTCTTACTCAACACAGTAGTACTAAAAAGGATGTTGCTATGTTCCCACCTTAACTGCCTTATGTGCAGTTCCTGTGACAGCTGGAGTCAACAAAGATAAGTTTGGCTTCTGGAAAAAATGAAATGCCAACYTTCTTTATTTTACACTTGCTCTAAAACTTTTCCATATTATCTGATTATAACAATTTTGCAATAGATGGTATATTGGCTACAGCTAATGAGTAACTAAACCTGGTCTAAATTATATATCTAAGAAAATATAGCAATAAAAACAAGCTGTTTTAACAAAACGTTTTAAAAGTTAAAAATCTCACATTCAAAGAGGGTTTACAGTAAAAAAAAAAAAAAAAAGCAAGACAATCTAAGTTGAATTTAATATGCTAATTAACCTCCATGGCCTAGCTGGGAAAATAATGTAAGATTCCTATTCTATGAGATTTCCTGGTTAAGAGGAAATTAATAGTTGATACAATAAGGATAAGGAAATATTAAAGGTTAGGAAAGAATTCTTATTTTGTGTTTCTATTTTTAGGTCACAGGAGCTATAATCAAAAACAACACAGTGAGTGGCATACACTTACATGATTTATTGTAGATTGAACAGCCTTAACATAATGGTTTAGGTCTCGATCCATTATAGCAAATTCAACCATCGCCTTGTCCATACTATATTCGCTACTCACTTCAGCTGAAAAATAAAAGAGATTGCAATTATTAATTTCCACTTAAAATACTATATCTACCTGGAAACAGTTACACCAATATAATCCTTATCAATTTTGGAAAAGTATTACATATTTTTAAAAAACCTTCTCAATATAGGCCTGTTTCATTCAAAATTGTAAGAATACACAGAAGAAAACAACTCAAAGGTAGTTTGGGGAGTGGAATGAAAAACAGATTTGTTCTCAGGAGGTCCTTTCCAAGCTTCGCCACTTATCATGATCCTAAATCAAGACACCTCTCTCAGTCTTAGTTCCCTCATCCCTTAAAGCAACCCAGTCGTATATCCATCACACAAACCTCATAGTTACAGATCAAATAAGGAAGATTTCCATGCTCCTAACAATGGCTGGATCATTTGGATTGATTCTATTGGGAGGCGGGGTTCCTTAAAAACAAGAGTCCCACAGTAGTAAGAAATAACCAGGGAAAACCAAAAAAGAGAAGTAGGACAACAAGACACCTAAGTCCCAGCAAGCTGGGATCCCTGCTCCTCAGTATGAAGGTAAACCAGAAGCAATCCTGCCCTGTTCTTTGGAACGGCAGGGAGGTTCAGCTTGCCCATTAAGCAAAAGAGTGGGGAAGGGAAAGGGGAAGAGGAAAAGAACTTGTTTCTGAAAAACTGTCCACAAGCTAGCCCTCCTGGATTTGCTCGCTGGGATCCCCTAACCTGAGTGGCCCCAGGACCCTATGCTCTGATTCTGGTGCAGAATGGCCTCAGACTAATAGTTCCCACAGGTCTGTGGCAGAAGAAAACATAACTCCCTGGAGAAGACACTTTCATTTAGGGGTCAAATAATCCCCAGGAATAATTTTTAAGGATACTGAGGAGATCACAAGGGAAAAGGTTAAAACAAAAAGCCACACACATCCAAAACAGATAAGAAAACAAGCCACCAAAAGTAAGAATCAATAGAAACAGATCCACAAATGTTCCARTTATTGGAATAACCTATCAATTACAGTATGAAGCAACTGCATTTAAAAAATAAAAACATCCTCAAGAACAGGTGACTATTAAAAGTGACTGGAGGTTGGAAAAGCAAGGCAATGTTTTTAAAAGTGCTTTTAAACTGTTTCTCCCCCTCAACCCAAATAAATTTATAACTTAACAGATCAGGATAAGATAGAAAACACAGGATCATAAGAATTTGAACATTAAAAAAAAAAAAAAGAAACTCAATGAAAATAAAGTTGAATCACTTAAATCTTATTTGGGAATGTATATATTCAAACTATCCCTTTACTTTAGCTCACACAATTGTTAGTATTTCTTGTCTGCTCTGAGGAACAATATCACAGATCATTGCAGGTCATGGAGAAATGTAAAACCCATTCATTTGGCTTTTAAAATTTATCTTCCTAAACCTTTAAATTATGTTTTAATTTTATAACAATTATAAGCACAGTCATACATCTCTTGGATTTATGAATATCTTTTATATTTTAATATCCAGACTTCACAGAGTATATATATATAGCTCAATGAGTTTTTCTTTGGGGTATGGGGTGTTTATATAAGAAAAATATGTATTTCCCTACCCAAATTAATACATTTTTAACAAAATAGGGTTTGAGAAAAGTCTCAAGTCATATTGTTAGACAACTAGAGCCAGTGGATTAACATTTTGAAAATGTCTGAATGTCAACAAAGGTAACATGCTGCCCAGACATTGCCAATATCAAGAAGTACACACTGCACATACATAGAATCCATGTTAAAAATCATATTAATTGTCAGATGATCAGAAAGATAATTTTAAACCATTTATATCCTACTATAACGATATGCAACTTATATTTATAGGCATTTAGTTACATTTCAATACATGGGTTAGAAGGTTTTGGTTGACCTATAGGGTTTTTTTTCCACTTAAGATAATTTTTAAAAAAGGCTTCTGTTTTTAATTAGCTTTATCTAATTAAAATAAAGTTCCTTTTTTTCCTTAATGGAATCAGTGCATTTTATGCATATTAGGTATTAAATTCTGAAACTAGGACCAGAAAATGGGTAAAGCTAGTAATCTGAGCAAAGACTAAGAACATAAAGTACTTTCTCAAAAGTCTAATATCAGAAATGTCTCCAAATTAAACAGAAATTAATAAAAGGATCTACTGGGGGCAAAAGTCTGAAGCATAAGAAATCAAATTTARAGGGCTAAAATCAGTGGGAATTTACATATTGTTGGCAATTTCCCTCTGGATTAAATGAATTAATTTTCTAAAGCACTCAGAATGTGCCTGAGACTTAAATGCTATAAAAGTATTTACAAAATAAAACAAATGGGTTGATGACTTTCATTAACAAGGTCTCACAGATGGTATCAAGTCCTGAACCAAAGAGCACTTTAAAATATGAGGCCCAAGAGACCTTCCTGCAAAGGAGAAAAGGAGCAGTGGCTGTGGCAGGGTTTCATGATATGAAGAAGAAAGACTCTTTAGAGGCCAACTGTGGCCCTCAGGCAAGCTGGGCTAAGACTCTAGGCCCCAGGAGGATTGGGACCAGCTTAAGAACACAGGTGAAGAACAGTACAACTTGAGGCAACAAGGGAAGCTAAAACACCAGAAAGGATCAGGAAGGTAACCCTAAAAAGAACTGAGAATCATAGCATAGCGGGAAGTGGTGCCTAGCCAAAGAACTTCAGTCCAAGTCTCTTGGTTTGCTGTAGAGAGGGGCTGGAGAGGTAGGCCAGAACTAGGAAAGACTCCCACAACTGTGTCTCAAAGATACAAGTCACATGAGTGTCCAATTCAAACAGTAATCTGGCACAGCCAAGTTAAGAGCATTTTTGTTATTCTTTTTGTTCTTCTAATAACAATCCTCTGCAAAACTAACCTCTTTTTCAAAAGCTGTTTTTTTGAGCATGTTTCAGAAACAACAGGCTAGGGAAGGCATAGGGAACCTATGTGTTGCTTTACAGAAGAACTGAGGTGGGGAAAGAGAGTGTAATTGCATAAAAAAGACAAACAGTGTCCCTGCAAACACTTGGAGACTGGGTGGAGGGCAGGGGGATGGGAGAGCTGGGGGGATAAACACAGGCAGAGTTGGCTATTTACTAAAAACTGGCTAGGGAATGGGACAGGAGTAGAGGGATGACCTGTCAGAGGCTTCCTGTGGCTTCATCTGTAGTAGGCATTCCTACCATTAACATGCTCCCACTTTTTCGGAAAGCTCTTCCTGAGAATTTGCACCAAATCCAATCCTACACATCTTTCAAGGACTGAGTCCAAGGCCGACCTGCTTTAAAATTATACCAAGCTTTGCTTAATTTATCTTAACACATACACTTCATGTTTGGGTGCCATGAACAATCTTGACTTTCTTGTCTGCACTTGTCTCATTTGTCCAGATTTTAATCCATTTGAGGGTAAGAACAATGCCTCGGTRTTCTTGGGATTCAACAAAGAATTACAGAATTAATTTTCCTTCAAAATTCTTCTAAGGCCATTATTTCTCACAATTGAAAATTAAACTTTCACCAAACAATAAATTGTCCTACCTCAGATACTCAATTGAATTAAAATGCAAAGTGAACTTGCAATATAAACTCATTTGTTTATTATATTTTCATTGTGACTTTTTCACAAGAAAAAATGGTGGTACCAGCACTGGGGTGATRGGGAAAGCAGAATCACACAAAAGATGTTACAATTTTCAGAATGATGACCCCAGTGAGTAAAGCATTATTATATCTCACCTATGCATGCCTGGTATTAGAGAAGTTTGGTGCAGATGATAAAGCATGGGAAGTGATCAGAATGATGAGTCTTAAAAAACATGCCTATATATGTAATAGCTGTAGCCAACAATTAACAAACACTTTATTATGTGCCAGCACTATACTGAGAATACCATACTCACATTAAATCTTGAAGCAACATTAAGAAAGAGGTAGTTTTACAGGCACTTTACATATGGGAAAACAGAAGCAACTTGCTTAAGGCCACAAAGGTAGCAGGCAGCAGAGCCAAGCCTCTAACTCAGTTTTCTACCTGCAAAGTTTGTACATTTGCTCACTTGTGCAAAAAGGTATTGCACAAGAAGGACAAGCACCTCCAACTCCTCCAGGAATATCCAGGGAACCAAGACTCAGGAGAAAGTCAATGGCCCTGAGGCTCTGAGTTTCAGTTCAACTCCATGGCATGCCTTAACACAAAGCAAAACTTCCAAGTGGACAATGCCACTCCAGGGCTATCATCTGGTCCTGGAAAGCTCTTTGCAAATTCTCTAAGAAGAGAAAAACTGATAACCAAAAGAAATACTTTTATCCTTTTAGAAGAATAGCAAGCTTTTAAGGGTAAAAAGACTGCCTTTTCATATCTGTAGGGCTAATCTGAAGCACCATGAAAGCAACACAGTCACTCACTGAATGCTAGGAGAAAAACAGTCAAGACCAGTTGCTCAAAGGTCAAGGGTGTAGTAGGCCAAGAGCACTAGCAGCCACAAAAAATAACAGAAGCTATCAACTGACTGCCAAGTAGTAATGAAGAGTGGCCTTAGAGAAATGGCGGAGGGGAAGGGAAGAATTCTGGAAGGAATCAAGTGGCAGAGATATTTCTAAGTAGAGTTCAGAGTCAAAAATCATTTTTATTATCCACACCTTTGACTCTTCTCCCCAAGCCAAGGAGGGTCCAATAGGTTAGAAAATCAAATTTCTTCAATATGTCACTCTATGAGCATTTCTTTATTAGAGTCAATATTTGCTTTTGTTAACCAAATGAACTTATATGACATATCTGAACATTCATTTACAAGCCAATACATACATGAAGAAGTCAAATGAAAGGGTCTTGGGGACTCTGGGAGAACTACCACCTGGCACACTAGGAAACTGCTCTGAAAAATTAGTACAATAACAAACTAAACTACGATCACCACTTCCATCCCAACAAATCAAATCCAGAGGGCAACAATAATCCCTGATTTACATTTTAAACTTTTAGCTTTCTGTAAGAATGTCCTTG